TGCATTTAACCTGCAATTACAAATGCATAAATAATGTTTTGATATATTAATCATAAAACATTGAATAGATACTTTAAATGTGAAATTAAAACCGCCAGTAGGTGGCAGCAAGTCGCTGTTAATAAGTGAGTCATTGCGATTGAACCGAATCATTTAAACGGATGATTCATTCAGGAACGAATCACCGTCATGTTGCTCAGAGAGACGCAATACAGTGCTGTGGCTGTGTTTGGAATTATTTTTGTTGTCGAAATAGCGCAAAAACAGGAAATATAGCGTCTAAAACGGTGAACGGTGTCAAGTTTGCACTGCAAAGGTGGCACAGAAGCGCTTCTGAAGTGGCATTTGGATGTCTTCACACATGCTGCTCAAAGCTGGCATAAATGCATTTATTCTGCAATTATTTACATCTGCATGCTTTGGTACTCGGGGTTGAGGTGGGACAGAGCAGGCATAATTCTGTTTTTTATGCGGCATTGCATCTTTACACTAAATTTTAAGCAGGCACAGAGCAGCCTTAACTCAGCTGTGTACAGACTGCATATGGAATTAGGGCTGTGCGATAAATTGATAACGATCATTATCGCGATATAATTTTCCTCAATATTCATAAAACGATATGAAGAGTTCGATAAATGTTCGATATAATGTTTATGCTTGCATTCAGCGAAAACGCAAATGACTCTGTGATTTAAACTAGTTTAAAGCCGGATGACGAACAGGAGAAACACTGTGTGCAATGATACAGTTCAATTTACAAGTCGCCATAATTTACCATGACTTTACTGTAGTAACACTAACCGTACCATGGTATTGTGTCAGAAATCTGGGATAATCATATTGAATTTTATTATAGGAGTAATGGAATATAATTATAATGTTTATTTGTGATTAAGCTATAGCATGTGTGCATTTATACTAAATGTTAGACTACTGTTTTTCATACATATACCTAAAAACATTATAGTGATATTTTTACCATGGTATTGAGGTGTGCTATATGTGTGGGTTTAACTGTGTTTATCATGATTTAAATGTATGCTACTATGCGAGGCCAATGGTTAATTTAAAAAAAAACTAAATGAGGTTACTACTTTTTACAGATGTTACTGATTTTGATAATGAACAAAAATTTACATCTGCATCCTAACTCAAGCTACTATCAAATGTGCATTTCTAAGAGACAAAAAAAGTCATATTAAGTATTATTAATATTATCAGGCAACACAAACCTGTTTCTTGATTGCAAACTATATCACTCATTAGAACATGCAGAAGAAACTAAGAAATTAATATTTCTATTAAGATATTTATTTTAAGGAACATTAAGGAACAACTTTCACTTTGGAGCAAAAATCTGGCTTTAAACTTGAAAGAAATAAAGATTTGACATTCATCGTGATGAGTATCAATATCGACTGATATGAAAAAAATTGTGATCATTTTTTTGGCCGTATCGCCCAGCCCTATATTAAATGATACTTATGCCATATTTACACTGCAAAGGTGGTACAGAAGCCCCTCTAAAATGGCATTTAGGGGTCTTAAAACAGATTGAGGCGGGTCAGAGCAGGCATAAATAAATCTGGTGTTGTCATTTATGTTCCTGTTCTGTGTATGCAAGATTAAATGGTTTGCTGCTTTTATGCATTTAATACCAGAACAGACCTGCAACCCACAAGAGAACTGCTGTTCTAGAGTGTGTGAAATAACATGCTACTATATTACAATAGATGCTGATTTTTGAAGTCAATCAATGCGGTGCTCTTCTTTTTCCAGTGAGATGCAGTGATTTCTGTTAACATCCTTCCTGTCTCTTAGCAGATCAGAAACTAATCTTTGTTTCCTGTTTCACAGCAAATCAGCAGCCATCAGGAGCAGTTCATCCAGATGCTTAATGAGCCGGTGCAGGAGGCGGGGCAAGGAGGCAGTGGGGGCGTGGCCGAGGCAGGAGGCGGGCACATGAACTACATCCAGGTCACACCTCAGGAGAAAGAAGCTATTGAGAGGGTAAAACGCTTAACACATTTTCAGTTTAAGAAGTTATTGCAGATGCCGCTATATTATTTGCCAACTCGCGGTATGAAATATAAGACTTTAAGATGTGCACAAATAAAATTAAATACTGTATGTCATATAGTGGCACATGTATAACTGCAAAACAGTAGGGGTGCTCCGATTGATCGGCTACCGATCGCTATCGGCCGATAATCGCTTTGGGATGTTTGATCGGCGGTCTCTATAAAAGCCGATCTCAAGCTGATGAGCGTGAGAGGCTCATCTCAGTCTCTGTCCGGCGCGAGTTAAATAATTATAATGCTGAAGGTGAGGTACACTTCATATTTCTTCATTAAATAACTTATAAAGTAATTTGAAAACTTTCTGTGAGGCATAATTTCATAAACTGCGCGAGCTCTCTCTTTCTCTCAAAATACGCAAATGGCTTCAAATCACATCGCGTCTGTCTATAAGCGATTGTTGTTTTAGTGCAGTGTTGCATCGTCACTAAAGTTTATAAATTGCATTACATTTTAATTCTTGCCAGTGTTTAACCATTCAGCGCTCGCACGCTCTCCTGGA